CAAAACTTCGAATCGCAGGTTGTTGCCCAAATGCAGTCTGTAGCTCCTCCTAAGCCGGATAGCAGCGTGGTCGTGAGTCGACCTCAAACAATAGTACAGGCAACAACGCCAACCAAGGCACAAGCAGATGTCGGTCATGCAGACTGCCACCATAACCAGGCATGTGTCCTCACATCATCATCCGCATCTCACCCTCTCTCTTGGCTGTATACCTTGCTACCCCTGTCCTACTTCATTTGGCTGGCTGCGCCAGGTTAAAACCCTGATGAACCCTCCGCTAGAACACACTCATGTATACTTCATGCCAACGCCCAAATTGACATCGTAGCCTGACTCTTGGTTCACTTTGTTGGGGCGGCTTGCCAATGCGCCTGGTATTGGGCTGCATGTGACCGCATTCTCCGTTTGTACAGGGCTTGGTATACTGCAACATCCCAACCCCAATCTAGCCGCAACCCGTAGTCCAACTTCTGGTTTATCTTGCACCTTCGGATTGCCAGGTAAGTAGCTCTCTCATTCCCTCCTACTCGTGCTACCTCCGCATACCAGCCTTCACTTAATCCGTGGAGTGAGAATGAACCTCTCCCTAGAACACGAAGAGTGTACACTACCGAAGTTGTCTGGTGTAGGTGGTAAGTCCCGCTAGTTCATGGGTAGATACACTGGCAGAGTTCTATATTGAAACTCGCAATATGTAGTACACCCCACATAGCCAGCCTTCACCCCCTCTTCTCCGTAACTTCCCGACCAACCGTCCTTGATCGCTAGTGGCTGGGTTCAGGCCAAACAGCGGAGACACGAGGGAGACAACAGAACAGCGGACTGTCATAAGTAAACCACTTAGAATTACGACGAGGAATAACACCTTGGTCCCGATATTAGAGAAGAAGGTCCCCGCTGAGATTGACATTAACGACCACGAGGGAAAGAGGCCATGATGCAGACTGCGGAATCCCATGAACAAAAACGATCACAGGCTGAATGCGGTCAGCCACGTGACTACTAGCATGACGACGACCAAAACATGGTTTTGGCGGTGATGACTATGGTCACCGGTCTTGCTCCACTTCACCTGAAATGCGCAAGATGAGGTCGAATCTCCTGCTAGATTGAGGTAGGGCACACATGCTGCCTCACGCCGTATACTGTCATGCCCGCCTGCTCCCAAAAAAATGGGAATGAATCTTCCGCTAGAACACGAGAAGATACATCTATTATTTCATACTTCCTTCTCTTTGCCGCCCTCGAAAAACCGCCGCCCAGATTCAAAATCTGGCGCGTCCATTCTACTCAAAACGATCTAAAACCTCTATCTCACACCTTACTTCACTAAAATCCGGTAAGAGTTCAAAGAGATACACACTTCTATTCCTGTGGCTTTCCCTTCCTGACTCCTTTGCGCACGCCTTTTTCTTACTAACTCGCGATCCATTAACTTTCATCCTCATCTGACCATACCATTCAACTCGCCCTATCTAAGAACCTCACGCGATCCATTAACTTTCATCCTCATCTGACCATACCATTCAACTCGCCCTATCTAAGAACCTCAAACTCGTCCCGTTCCCCGCCTGATCTCGTAAAGAGACGAGCAAGGTGCTTAGCTCTTGCTTTCTTTTCCACGCCCCCTTCCGCCATCTCCCGGCGCACCCACCTTCTCACTAACCTCCTACCTTACTAACCCAACAGCCAAACTGACCTCACCAATCGCCTCGCCATACTAACAAGCCTCCACCTACCTCCCTGCCTTGCTTGATTCGCTGAGGATCGAGAGAACCATCCTCCTCTCTCCCTCCAAGCCCGCGTCTTCCCCATAGCTTCACGTAGCCTATTACTTACACACCCTCGAACCCAGCTATCCGTCGGTCAAACTGCCACTCCCATTGAACTTGCAATAGGCGAGAACCCCCATTTAGCATGTTCCCTTGCTCGATTCTGTTGAGAATCGAGTGAGATACACGTCCTTCACTCCTACTATGCACGATCTTCTCTCTACACCATCTCTTCCTACTTTTGCCTGCACCTAGCACACCCCTTCTTCCCGGTTCACTCCCCCGTTCACCAGTTCCCTCCCCCGCTGTTCGTCAATTGGCCCGCTGATGCTCAGCGCTGCGCTGCTCGGCCAGCCCCTTTGCCCGTTCGCTACCGGCTAACGCAACGCCCGTCGCTCCGCCTCACAGCCTCTCTCTGACTCAGCGGCCGCTCCTACCGCGCCCTCCTCTCTACTGTGCTATCTGCTCGCTGCTGCCTGCTTTGCTAACACCCTTCACTCGCCTCATTGGTTACTAACTCCTCTTCATACTTCCTCATCCTCCTCGTTGCCTCCCGAACCGGTCGCATCTGGCCCAAACGCGCGTTCATATCGGCTCTTCCCTCTCCACGTTCGCTATCTTCACCCCCCCCTCGTCGTCCGCTCGGTCCTCCCCGACTGTTGGAAGGTGGCGTAGGCCCCGACCCTGACTGGTCTCATTGCAACAACTCAGTGGGCCGCTCGACAGCTCCGGCTGTCCGGCAGGGAGGTTCCGAAAGAGCCGACTACCAGTTGGTCCGACCAGCCTTTGTCCTACACCCGGTCTGACAGGCTTTGCAGCCTGCGCCACTATTCCGCCACAACTTTCTCCCCAACCTTCCTCCGGTCCTCCCCCCAACGGCTGCCCACACACAGCTAATGGTCACGGAGTCGGGGTACCGTCCCCATGGGAATTCCCACTTGTTTCAATAGCCGACCAGATGCCTTTACGTACGTATGACTCAGCTCAAAAACAACATACGCAATGATTAGCTTCAACGAGATACGTCTCCACCCAATTTCCAACTTACCTCTAACCAACTTAACACCTTTCCCCTGCTTTCGAATGTCCGCGGCCTCCACCCTTTTCTCAAACCAGAAGTCAACCACCCAGTCAAGTCCCCGCCAAATGGAGTGAGGCGGCAAGTTAGAGAACATCTCCTTGATGTCGAAGGAGGCTCCCATAACTAGGTCCTTCTCAGACAGTCCCTGGTTGACATCCTTCAGACGACTGAGAAGGTAGTCAACACTCCAAAGATTGAAATTGCAATGCGCTGGGAGACCCCATAACAACGCGTTTACAACTTGAGACACCACCCTGCATCCAACAACGGAAGGCTCAGGATACGAGGGGCAAATCGGCCTCCAGCATGTGACATCTTTACGCTTATGCACGCAGTACGCCTCCCCAATCTTACCTTCTTTTTTCCAGCCACCCACACGAGACAAACCCTTATGAACGTAATCAACCTTACAATTTTCCAACACGTCATACTCGTTCTTCTCACATACTTGAAACGATGGGTTACCAAGGAAAGCTTCCGCATCCCTTCCTCATATACAACAGGACAACAGATAAAGGTATCACCCGGATTGTGATCGACGGGGCTACATACCAATCCGTGAAACATCCAAGAGAGGGAAGCCACATCGTCCTCACAGGGAACGTCGGCGCACAACCCCTCAACAGATTTGACCGAAAAACAATTAGTAATCTTCTCGTTAGACAAGAGCCCAAATTTCACAGCCGAAAAGGAAGGATGTGCCGAGAAGGACAGCAGGATCTGAGAACGGAGAGGAGCAGTAGAGCAAGATCTGGAAGGTCGGAGAAGATTCCTGGAATTCAACAACCAGGAAGGGACCAACGACGACACTTCATTAAGACGAAAAGATACATGCCCATTGACACGTGGAAGATCACCATCACACCCAACGCATGAGCATGCGACCTCACTTTGTTTAGAAAACTTCCTATAATTATGTAAAACGTCTTCGACACTCCGATTTCGGCACCATACCACGTGCATGCGCCTAATCAACATCAACTTCCAGCTATGCTCCACCTCCAGTCCGGCCACAACCTGCGCGCATAATTGTCGTACTTTAGCCTTCGATATCAAATCGTCGTAGGTAACGCAAACCACAATACGTTTTCGAACATAAATACCAAAACGAACCAGAATGTGCTGCGACAAAATACAATGCAACCTAAACCTCGACCGCTTCTCGCTAAATGTACGTACAGCGGTATAGGCCACGATCAACCCGTCAAAATTCCAAAGCCGCAAGTCGACTCTCATAGCCGGATTACTAAAAAATTTGGACAACGGGATTTTCGGTACCAAAGAACGGCTCAGAAATGGTATAATAGGGTCGATAACCAAAGTAACACCTCCTTTAAACCACACACGTGCATACCTTAGTTCCTTCTTCCCAAATTCACACTCCACCAGACTTCCACCAAACAACCTTTTCATAACTTTCCAACGATCAACCAACCTCCTTCCTCCTGAGCAACAAACAACAACACTAGTAGCCCGTCGTTCCTTACAGTCGTTCAAAATCTTGAGCAAACTAACCAATTTGTGACCGTGACTAGATCAAAAGATACATACAGATCCCTCACCTATGCCGGTAGAACAGATAGACTTATTGCTGTGTTCTCGTTTTTTCCTCAGCCTTTCCCTTAACCCAACCTTGCATCTCTTAGATCACTGCGGTTTGTCCCGAACATTCAAGGAGGGGCACAAAAGTCGAATAAAATATTTCTCGGTTTCCAACAAGTCGCCAAACGAACACCGACATAATGGGATAACGGCATACGAGTGGGCCCCAGAATGTCGCAACCACCTATAAAGTTTCTCATTCCTTCTACCTCCCTCAATCACCTTCTGCTGGCACGCCCTATAGACGTGTTCCCTCCACCGACTGTGAGCATCGCGCTGTGTACTCCCTACATAAATGTGACGACACCAAGGAGACACCAACGCATACACCAGCGGACCATACCACTCATCGACGTTACCTCTACGGGACTCGAACAACAATGGAAGCAAGAAACTGCTCAACTTTGAACCCCACGCAATCTCGCCAAAGAGGATTAGACCACAAACAGCAACAGTCAACAGGACATTAACGATCTTACTTCTCAACCACTTACGTGAAGACGCACGCAATCTACCACAGATTCTCACCACCTGCCAGAGGAAGGCCGCGTCCGGGCATGACCCTAAGAAGAAACGGAGTCATGCCTTGACTGAGTCTTCCCCCTGGTCGTCCGTTCGCTCCACCACTGACTTGTTCTTATCCGGCTCCTTGTCTTGGTCGTCCTCTTGCATAGCCCTATCCGTACGTGACTGGGCAATTGCCTCCTTCGCTTCTTCCAACTTCGTGTAACCGACACCCTCCTTTTCACAGATCCCCATGACAACTTCTTTACGAAGATTGCATAGTTTTTCCTTGCATCCCTCAACAACACATCACGTTGGTTTACCAAAGTAACAGGAGTAACCACACACTTCCCTTTGTCTTTCTTGGCAGATGAACCAACCACGTCATCTAGCCTGGACTTAAGATTAGTTCCACCCGTCTTCCTACCCGTTTCCAACCTCACCATTGCTTCCTTCTTCAGCTTCTCAACCTCCTTGGATTCTTTGCGAGCGTTCACCTCGCGAAGTCGCATCTCTTTGAGCAGGTCAACTTCTCTCTGGTGCCGCTCCACCATTTCTTTCAGTTGTGCGTTGACCCTGCCCGTGGGGCCTGGCGAAGCGGCGGGCGTGACCCGCGTTCGAACCCTTGCTTCCGAAATCGGAGTTTGGCCGATAGCAATACTGCCTCGCTTATTACCCGGACGCATGGCCTCGATTCTCCATACTTCGGCGTTTGCCTCGACGACCTCACATTGCTTCTGCAACGCGAAAATAACTTCCTCCATGGATGCCAAGCGTTTGTCCATAGCAGTCCTCACCTCAACCTGCTCGCGCCTCAATCGGGCGATCTCTTCGGACTCCGTGACAGGTCTAGACACCGTGGCTGATGTACTGGCTACATCTTTACCACGATTCAACGCCTCAACTTGTGCCTTGAGCTTCGTTATTTCCGGTGCCTTGTCATTGGCAGCGGATCCTGAAAGTTGCCGACCAAGTGTTTCAACCAACAACTTCAATTTCGTCAGCTCCTCCCCATCACTAGCCTTCTTCCCATCAATCGCCTCTCGAACCACATCCAATTTGCTCGTCATCTCCTTATGCATAAGTGCCTGAAAGTCCTCACGCTCTTTCTTCTCTTGGTTCCTTCTCTCCTCCTCCTCCTGTTCTCTTTTCCGACAATCTTCTTCTTACTTCCTTGCTCTTTCCCTCGCCTCATCCGCTTCGTGCTTACTGTTAATCTTCCCCACTATTTCCTCCAAGGAGCGAACACGCCTTCCTAAACCACTACCTCCTCCACCATTGTTATAGTATCCTGAGTAATACGGAACCGCAGTGCCCACGTTGTTCGCAGAAGAGGACGACGGTGGAACAGTCAACAGTGGCTGAGCGGGTACTAATGCCGTACTCGCAACTGTTGACTGAGCGGGTACTAACACCGTACTCGCAACAGCTTGCGCACCGTTTAACCTCCTGTCTGGTAGAGGGCAGAATCTCGAGATGTGCCCCAGCTGGATGCAGTTATAGCAATTCCGAGCTCCCGGCATGTTGGAGTTACCATTGGACGCCATCCCTTACTGAAGTCGAAGCCACACAACAATAATATTACCTCTATGTCGGTTACTCCGCGTGAAAAAGTAGGTTAGCAGCAACCTGACATAATGATAATAACTCCCAATCAACGCCGAAACACAGAAGCCAGAAGTCCACGCCGGACCAAACAAGAAAACTTTAAGGAGATAAGAGAAGAAGAAGAAGAAGAAGAAGAAGAAGAAGAAGAAGAGGAAGAAGAAGAAGAAGAACAGGATAAAAAGAAGACACCAGAGTTCCCGAACGAGAGTTGAATACTTTGAGATAAACCATGAAGCACAAAGAACGGAAGACAAGCTCCCGTAATGGCGGTAGTGACCCTACGGTTTCTTAAGGGCCATCCGTTTGAGTCCTTATATTTTCTTTTCTTTTTTTTTCCTGAAAGCCCAGGTTGCTGTAGAGGCCAGATTCCCACGCAAAGCGGGCACTGTCATAGGAGCGCCGAAGCCGGTAAGCTTCCCTATGGACCGCCCCCTGGCACCACTCGGACCACGCTGGAACAGACTGCTACCACCCCAGGGGAGGTTGTCATATCCTGGTTACGGTATTTCATACCGCCTATCCCTAGTCCGGCCCCCCGTCCAAGACTTCGAGGCTCCCATCTGTTCACATTCCGGCCCCGCCGAAAGCAGCGAGCTTCCCAGGGGAGCATACCAGGTACTATTCCGACTCAATCAGCTAATGGGTGCACTGGCACGCGACGGAGGAACTGCCACCCTACCCATCCTCACGTCAATTCTCCTAGCGCATCCCCTGCAACCACTATCCTACCTCAATGACCAGCACTCAGGAAAATCACCCTCAGGGTGATATCGACCGAACAGTAGTTATAGGCACCAGCCTAGAGAGTAACCCACCCAGTCCCAATGGAAGAGCAGTTGTGCAAGCCTTGTCACCCGAGGACTTGGGCCGCCAGGCAAACTCAATATCTCTACCAGTCCCACCGATGAACCAGGTCCCTAGTAGGTGTTACATATGAGCTAGAGTCCTTATCTTGTGATGTTCCACTCGTTGCTCGAGTGAGAGAGAGCCCAACCCTGCGGCAGTAGCATCTTGGAGGGAAGTGCTGTGCCGGGGGGGACGAGGGCAGAATTTGAGGGGTGCACTATTATGGGCCCCCGGTTGACAGAGTGAGTCGACCTCGGGTGGGAGGCAGATAGCGGTAAGGAGGTAGTCCTGCTCCACGGGGAAGAGGTGGTTTCTTCCGCTCCCTCTCCTCTTCTGCTGCGGAGTGAGTGGGAGATGATTGGGTGGCTCCAGTATTCATCAGCTGCTGTGAACGTTATTAAACTCTTCTGGATTTTAGTGGTGGACCTGGTGGTAGCTTTTCAATTATAAAAAAAAAAAAAAACCCTTAAAGATCTGCAGACTGCAGATGTTTTAAACCTTTTTTTTTTTTTTTTTTTCTTGCCACACTGTGCCATGCATGCGAAGCTTTTCTTGTTTGTTCGTTTCCTTATTGGCATTGCATTGATCTTTTCCACAAATTCCACGGTTGTCGCCCATTCCGCATTTTTTACAAAGACAATATGGCCCATCGATTGGCTATGCAGACAACATGCCCTAGCGATTGGCTATGCACAAAATATGCCTTGTGGCTATTTATTGGCTATAAAACCACCACTCCAACAGCCCCTGCAATGTCCAGGCCCGGTAGAGGTTCGGTGGGGAAGGGTACCCCGATTATTTACGCCCTTGGGGCCACGGTAGATTCTAGGCTCAGGGAAATCTGATTTTTTGGTTGTCAAATAAGTCCGGATCGACTGGTGGTTTAACCATGAAGACAATACCTGTTGGCTATTGGCTATTAAAGCACTAGTACCTTTGTCGGGTCGGTTCGGAAAATAGTGGGCCTCTGACCTTTCAGGAGGCGGAAACGAAACGACGAATGCCGATCAGATTTATCAACGGGAGCCGTTCTCGGGCCCGGCGTCCTATATGTTTGGGACTAGGCTAAAACTTGTTGAAACCGGACGGCACAGGCACTAGTGGTTTGAGTCATTCACTTAGTATTTAAGATGAAAAGCCTTGGCCGTCCGGTTTCGCGGTCGGGCAGGGTACCCACCGACGGCTATCAATTTATTAACTAGAATGACGACAATCTCCCTCGGCTGTTTTCTTCCATTAGTAATGTATTCGTTGACGCGATTGTATTCATTGGCAGTATGCCTTTCTCACATTGTTGTTAAATTTGCAAAAAAAATCACAAATACTCAGAAACTTGAGCATTAGCGCATTCCCAAAAAAAAAAAAAAAAAAAAAAAAAAAAAAGTACACAACTCTAATGACAACTTGAAGGTGAGTCCCCAAGACTGAAAAAAAGAAAAATAAATTTTAGAAAAATAAAAAGAAAAAGAAGAAGAAAAACGGAAAACGGAGAGGGCATCAACGCCCACAGTAGTAGCCAAAGAAAGGACAAGCAACGGAGGGGAGGAGGAAAGGAATGGCAAGAGAGAAGAGGACAGCAACATAACCAAAGGATGAGGGCAAACATGTGAGGAGGGCAAATAGGAAGGAAAAGAGGGCAGGAGGAGGGCGAGTATGTGGAAAAAAATACGGGTAGGAAGAGGGCAAATATGTGGAAAACAGGGGTAGGATGAGGGCAAATACGAAGAAAAAAAGGGTAGGATGAGGGCAAATATGTGGAAAACATGGGTAAACAAAAGGGCCAAGGGAGAAAGCTGAAGCTGAAGCTGAAGCTGAAGCTGAAGATGAAGACGAAACCGAAGATGCAGATGAAGATGAAGATGAAGATGAAGAGATGAAAATGGCGATGAAGCTGAGGTGAAAATAACGATTGAAGATGAACCTGAGAACATTGCGAGGCATCTTCTTCTCAATGAAATGTAAGAGCTAAACCAACAAATGAGCAACAAACCTCTATGTCCTCTACTGTGACTGAGAGACAAAAGGCAAGCACAATGTGAAGTTCAGATGAAAACCCAAAAACAGAAAAAGAACTGCTGTGTCTAGTTATGAGATACCTACTGCTACTCCCTAGAGACTAGCAAAGATAATAAGAGCGAAACACAGCTAAAGAGTGTAATCGTCTGCTGAGCTGCCCTAGGAAAGTCACCAAAGAGAAGGCCTTGATGAAATGAGCTACAGGGATACACATAGCTCAACTTGTGTATGGAATTGAATTTGCAAAAACATGCGCATGAGAACACACTCGCTCTCTCTCTCTCTCTCTCTCTCTCTCTCTCTCTCTCTCTCTCTCTCTCTCTTAGTGATCTCAAGAGAGGGACGAAGATAGGGACAGTCAGAGGAGGCGGAACGGAAAAGCAAAAGAGAGAGAGAGAGAGAGAGAGAGAGAGAGAGAGAGAGAGAGAGAGAGAGAGAGAGAGAGAGATCCTTTCAGTACTAAAAAACTCTTGTCGACTGGTAAATGTGCGGTGGCTGAGGAGGCTGTCCATCACCGCTCTGGGAGTAGCTTAAGCACTCTTCCGATAGTGCAACTGTGAGCATTTCCGCCGTGAAAAGGTCATCTGACTTCAGACCGAGAGCCTGGCCCACACGGACAAACGAAGAAACACCACAGCAACAGAGACTGTCAACACTACCGTATACACCCGGACAGAACGCCCGGTCACTATCGCTGTGTTTGGGGCAACTTTCAGTCCAGATACAGAGATGATTTCCTGGGCATTTTCTATTCGGGCGGAGACGGAAGTACGATTCCAGAATGCGGCGGGATGTCCTCTTGGAAACCTTCCACCTACTGTCGATAGCACCAACTCTTTTGCAGACGTCTCTCTGCGCTTTCAACCGGATACCTACTTCGATGTGACCCTAATGCAAAAGTTGTTCGGTTTATTTTTCTGCATAACAAAACTTTTTTCAGTTTCTTTTTTTTTTTTTTTTTGATTTTTTCCCTTTTTTTTTTTTGTTTTTTTTTTTGTTTTTGCTGCGACCTTCCCTGGTCCTTGCACTGCCAGGCAGCTCGGGAAAACAGGGTGACCCGGGCGGCCAGGATGGTAGCCTAGACAGTTACTAAACTAATAGTCAGAGGGCTGAGACTAAAAAAAAAAAAAAAAAAAAAAACAAACTCTGAAAAAGAAAACACGGGGTAAAAAAAAAAACAATTAAGCACTAATGGTCAGAGGGCTGAGAAAAAGTAACGAGTACTCCTAATTGTAGGAGTACTCAGTCGTAGGTAGGTAGTGTGAGGTGAAATTGAGAGAAGAACATAGCTTTAAAAAAAAAAAAAAAAAAGTAATGAGAAAATTAGAGACATGTAGTTGAAGTTGAAGTATCCAAAATATAACCCCATCATGGCAGTGTTTGAAAGGGGTGGGGCAGTTGCGGGCCATGTGGACACGCCTGTCAGAAGAAGTTCAGACCATAATGACAGGGGGAGCGATAAACTTATGAAAATCATAATACTGTCCACCGCCTGTTCTTCGGCCAAAAAGAAGACATTGGCAGTAAAATCGAACAAATTATAAATGCAAGGAGACTGACTGCGCGGGAGAACCAACGGGCCTAGGTCAGCTGGGGTACGCCCGTGAACATGTTCGGTGTGCTACACAGGTTTGAAATGCCAGTACATCTGGAGAACTAAAACGAGCCTCATCGAAAAGTTGGGGGACTCGGGACAGAGCGCGCTTGGGGGCCGGCGGAATTTTTTTTGTTCTGTTCAGGACTGGGCCTAGTGCCACCCCACGGCATGGGACAATTTTTTTTCTTCTCCTGGCCTTTCTTCGGACGCCCTGTCCTGAAGCTCCGAAAGTTTAAGAGAGGCTTCATCGGATTCTCAATGGGGCTGGGGCCATGTACTGGTGGTTTAAAAAGAAGAAAAAAGGAGAAACGGAAAGAGAAAACAGATATGTGGATAGCTGTTTTTATTAAAATTTTAAAACTTTTTTTTTTTTTTTTTTTTGTTCCTGAGAGAGGCTCCATCTATTGGCGAAGAGGATCACCTGCTGGAAAACGGGTCCAGCGTCCCATAGATAACTGTTTTACTCTTGCAAGTCTTATCCCTTGCTCAGCTGTTTTGCTCCTGAGGCAAAAGATTGGAAATAAAACCATGGGACCTCACTGCACTACACAACCTTCCAAATGCATCTGGACGGGAGCATCGACCAGATACATTCGGGGTTAACGGGCATTGTGGATGTATCGAGATTTGGGACCTTAATCATGTCCAGATACATTTACAACGTTGTGTAATGGAGAGATCGCATATTTGAAGAACCTCCCCAGCAATCGAACGGAGCACACTCGGATTCAAATATATAAAAAAAAAAAAAAAAAGAAACAGAGATTTCCCACGTAGAATCACAGGTAGATCTCCTCAGTAAACGAGGCCGAGCTTGACAAATCCTTATGACATAAAGAGGGAAGAAAGATGCGAGTCCGAAATAGAGCCAAGAAAACAACTTAACTTATTAAAGGCTCCCAGCATACAGAAAAAAACTTTAAAAAAAAATAAAAACACTTTCAAAAAGATATAATAAAAACTACAAAAGGTTCGAAAGAGCTCAAAAGAAAAACCTGTATCATCTAATAATATATTCAATATAATCATTTATAATGTCATGTCTGTCGTAAAAAAATTTCCTGCTCGCTGGATGGCTGAATCCAGTGATTCCCACTTTTTTTTTTGTTGTTGCTTTTGGATAGTTCTCGAGTCCCTTGTGCTATATCACAGATGGGGTTCATTCTCGAAACCATAACAACCAAGGGTTTGAGTGTGTCTGACTGACATGCCCCCCCCACCCCCACCCCCCTTCCTCATGGAACTAGCTGCTTCTCGTTCATAAGAACACTCGGAGCGCGTGTTTCAAAGGCCGAAAAAAGAAAAAAAATCTTAAGTGGAAAACCGTGGTAGGGCAGGGAAGGGTAGGGCAGGGAAGGGTAGTGCAGGGAAGGGTAGGGAAGGGAAGGGTAGGGTAGAGCAAGGAAGGGTAGGGAAGGGAAGGGTAGGGCAGGGAAGGGAAAACAAACCTTATGATAATAATCGATCGCCTGACTCAGATTGTGCTGCACAGAGCCAGCAACGAGGTGGCAACCTGGTTAAACACCTCTCTCTCTCTCTCTCTCTCTCTCTCTCTCTCTCTCTCTCTCTCTCTCTCTCTCTCTCTCTC